AAGAGTGTAGTAAAATCGGGGTAAATGGTCGATAACTCATGATTCGGGAGTAATTGGTTCATTTTGTTGGATAAGATTCATGATCGGTACCCTGTTAAGCTGTTTATACAGATTCAGGGGTAATTGTTCGTAATAATATTGAAGGAGGTTTTATTCGGGAGTAATTGGTTAATTTTGTTGGGTAATATTCGGGGTAAATGATTGGTAAACTATAATTTAAGCTGTTTATGTAAAGTGTTGTGGTAGGCTCGGTCTCTATACTACTTATATTTTTATAGATAAAAATTTTACTCACTAAGCATAGATACTTACCTTTTTAATTAGATATATCAAATTAATTTCCCTCCTCGCACGACTTGTTATCAAGGATTCCAAAAAGAAGATGGCACAGAAATTCCCCATATCTTGATATAGGAAAACGTTTCAGAGTCCAGCTCCATCGTCATCGATTTGTCTTTTATTTGTCAATTTTAGGTTTTGATGTCTGATTGTTAATTTTTGATTATTAACTGATTGTATTTACTTTCTAGGCTTATATAACAGACGATGGAGCAGGACTCCAAAACTTTTTTTTATAAATAAACAGTGAATTGTGCTATCTTCTTTGTTCGTAAGGGGAGCATGTACGTATAGCTAGACAAAACTTTTTTATTTACAGACGGATCAATTTGAAACTTGGTACAAATAGGTAAAATAGAATTCTAAGACCTTTTTCTTCAAGTAAATTTTTCGAAAAAAAATTTAAAAAAACGTGAAATTCATATAAAGCGGCAAAAAATAGGTACTGTAAAATTCTATTTCCTCATTCAATTAACCTGCTACATCATCGTGGACATATCATTGGGTTCGTTAGAACCATGACGAAAGATTCTCCGCTTATTCATGTCATTTCTTTTTTTCCATTTCGACCCCTCCCTTCCCCCCTTTTTTGATATAAAATCAAAACAAAAAGTCGAAAAAATGATCGAGCGATCTCTAGAGATTTTTCTTACAAATCAAATGGTATATCTCTCAATGCTGTAGCTTGGAAATCATAGGAGGAGATTTTGAGGATGGCATATTTTAGAAATTTTAACTTTTCAGGAGAGCCAAATAACTAAAATTTATTGAAAAAAGAAGAATATGCCAAAAAATGCTTGATATTGTAGCCCAAGCGTTCCCAGTGCCAATTAGTTGCATTTAGGGTCTTTAGCGTCTTTAGACTAATTCTTGTCAGTTTAACGTGAATAATAAGCTATAAATGTGGCATTCTTTATATATATATATATATTATATATATATATATATATATATATATATATATATTATTGATCGCCCAAATTACTGGTGATAAATAGCTTGTTAGGTCCCGCGTTGCTCAATTCAAAGGACAGCTGATATTTTAA